GGTAGGAATCTAAGTTTATGAGAAAAAAAATCCATTATTTGTGTTAAACGTGACAATGTAGGAATTGATTTGACCTCAGAAGGCCTTGCATATAAAAGATACCGCAATTGGTTTAATTTTGGAATGCTGTGTGACTTGTGATACATGTGAAAACAAACACACACACCCCTACGAAATAAGTGGGAAATAGCAGTGCTGTACGAATAATCCTTCTTTATTTTGTTTAGGCTGGGTCATGGGAGGCAGCAACATCCAGATGGGAGCCTTCGCTGTGGTGGGCTACCTTCTGTACAGGTTTTCACAAAGTCAGTCGCATATTCACAATCTAATTTTAAACAAAAAAAAAATACTCAGAGTAGTCGCATTGTTCTGCTAATGTGTCTTTCACTGAAGTACGGAGCTTGGACACAGTGCCTGCGTGTGTAGCAGTCTGATCAATGTCCAAATTTAAATCATATCAAGAGGTTATGACATGACCTTACACATGCTAAATGTGGTTAAAAAGCATGCAAAGAGTGAAACAAAAATATTTAGTAGAAGTTTGAAGATTTAATAGAATAGAATAGATAGCATTTATTGTCACTGAACAGGATTCAATGAAATTTAATGAAAGCATATTTTCCTGTTATGGCCTTTACTGTCAAATGGATCATTTCATTTATCGAATGCAGTAAAACTTCAATAAAATACATTGAAGTTTGTGATTATAACGTCACCAAATGTGACAAAACTTCAGACACTTTTAAGTTCTGTCACAATTCCTGTTATTTTCTGTTTCATGACACAAGGATTGATAATATATTAAGACAATGGACTAAGGTGACTATTATATGAAATTCTCACAGTGAGAGTCATTTTTATCCAGACGTTTTACGCCGTTTGGTTTTCCTGCAGCTCTCCCGGCGCTGATCCGTTGGCCGATTCGTTTCTTCTGCTACATAACTGGTGAGTTTCTTTGGGGGGGTTTTGGTTCCCCTCTGACATATTGACGCTTCACCACAAAGTTTGGCCGGAACCGGAATCACAAGGCAAACGTTTTGTTGGTCCTGCCTCAGGTCTGCCAGCTCTTTGGGGCTGGGTGAGCCGCCTGGTTGGAACCTTCCGCGGTACGAATGATCAGTCTTCCACCCAGTGATGAGCTTCCACATGAGAGCTTAAAGCAGCCGAAATAACAACTCTTTTACTTTTCTCCTCTTTGTCTCAGGAATCAAGAACCTGTTGAAATGGGTTTCTCGGGTTTGGCGGTTTCTAGACGGTGAGCGCCTCTTCCTTTTCTGGAGGGTGATGTTTTCAGTGTTTCATAAATTGAAATGTACTGCAACTATTCCAGGAACAAAAACACTAAAGCCTGTAATTACAACTTAGACTAACGTCTTAATTTGATGTGTCCTCAGCATTTTCCTCCAAATTCAAGTGGATGGTTCCCATCATCAGAGCCATCACAGGTCATTATGCTCCTCTTTATTGTTTGAAATTGTGTGGTAATTTCCCAAAGGTTCTCCTTACTTCCGACAATTCTCCTCATTTATATTTTGAAAAGTAAATCTACTTTAACGTTTTTAAAAAGGCATTTACATTTCCAGTGACATGTTACCAATTTACTGGCAAAAAGCAGAATTGCGTCGCTCCAAAATAGCTCCAAAAAGTTTATTAAAAAAAAAAGATATTATTTGTGTTAAACGTGACAGTGTAGAAGCTGATTTTGCCTCAGAAGGCCTTGCATAATAAAGATGCTGCAATTTTGGAACTTTGTCAGAATACTATTCACACTTCCCACCGGATTGGCAGCAGTTACTTCCATCATTGCAAATGTATAAACTAAGAAAATGTTTTACGTCAGTGAGTGTATTTGCAGTCGCACCTCCAGCCCTTTCGTTTCCTGAAAAGCTCTAATTATAGGATCCACTAACAGTGGTGGTTTATGCATGAATGTGACCCTGCATGACCTCTTCCTTCTGCCCCCAACAGCCCACCTACCCAAAGCACCCTCCCAGATTCCCCCAGTCAATTGTTTTTTGTTCTGGTTATCTTAATCTGCTGAATTATGACAATACACTAACAATAAAATAGACTCTGTTTATATATATATATATATATATATGTATTTTTTAAGATCATTTAAGTATTTGCATTAAAACTTCTCACGTCTACAGGATCGTCTGAAGATGGACCACAAATCAGTGGCACTTCACGAAAGTCAGATTTGAGGTTGATCTTCCTGGGGCCAAACGTAGCGGACCAATACATCATAGCGGACGATTTGTTAGCATTAGGCAGCAACAAGACGAGGCCATTCAGCGACATGGCAAAGAATAGCATCAAGCAGACCACAGTACTGGACGGCAGAGAGATTACAGTGATCAGCACCCCCGATGTTTTAGGGTCGTCGATGGGGAACGCCAGCCGCGCCAGGGAGGCCCTCAGGAGCCTCCAGCTCACTACTCCCGGTCCGCATGCCTTTCTGCTGGTAATCAAGGCTCAAGGCTCCGGCGAGTCGGTCGGCCAGGACCTCAACAGAGCCTTTCGAGGAACGCTTGAGCTGTTTGGAGAGGGAGTCACAGGATACATTATCCCGGTGATCTCTTATGTGGACGGCAGACAAAGCTTCACCGTGGAGGAGCTGCTTGAGGGGCTGGAAAAGACCTGCTCTTTATGTGGTCAGAGTCCAGAGCTTGTGGACATCAGTGCATGCATTCCACCTAAAGGACAGTATTCAACTAGAAGGTCAAAAGACTGTGCTTACAGAAATCTGGTTGAGCGGGTGTTGGATGTGAAGGACAGTAGGGGCCATTTTGTCCATGTGCTGTACAGGAGGGAGGACGAGCTAAGGAAGAAGCTGCTGGATGACATGTCCTCCACACTGGCTCAACAACTGGACCACAGGTAGAGAGGGCAACTACACAGAGAGAGGAGTTGGAGTGTTTGATATCCTCGGCCAAAGAAAAAATTAAAACACATCTACATATATTTGTTTTTGTTGTTTTTTCATTTGGCCTGCGGTTTTGTCACTAGCTGCATTTCCATCGAAAATGTGTGCAAAACTTTGTCGATATTTTGATAATGTTGAAAAAACACATTTGTAACAGCGGTGTTTACATAAAATAGCAAATGCTGTTATAAACACTTGGAAATATGTTTGCACACACAGTAAGTTAGTAAAAAACATCCTTCAACTACTCATCTTCTTCTTCGTTGTTTGAGCCTGTTGTAACATCTGGTTGTTGATCACGTGACTCCAGTGATGCCAAGAACATGTCTTCATTTCCATCCATCGCGCCAAAACCTTCTTTTTTTTAATCAAAAAACGCTGCAATATGTATTAATTGCAACGTTTCCTTTAAAGCTGCAGTATGTAATTTTCATAAAGTGTTTCATGGAGCAACTATAACATCTGAAGAAACACCGCTCCCAACCTAAACTAACCAATCAGAGCCAGGAGGTGGATCCTGGCGCTGGTTGGTGGTTTCTAGTTGCCACTGGGAGAAAGCAGAGGAGCATTTTTTTTTTTCATATCATTGACAAACCAAACTTTCATGACATAGTGACAGTTGCAACAAATATGTAAAAAAAAACAAAAAAAAAACTTGGTCCACAGGGTGAATTATTAGATATTTTCTCGAGCCAACACCAGAAACGGCTTAATCAGGTTTGTCACATTTTCAACTCCAAATTCCATTTGGACTCTTTTTGTAAGTTATGGGTTGCACGTGGCCTTCACGTGTGATTTAGGGCTTTCACATCACCAACAAATGAAATGAATAGGTTTTACATGAATAAATGAATTTATTTAAAACGCGGCAATAAACAACACATTAATTAACCGCTGAGGGAGAGATGTGCTCTACCAACCTACAGCTGCAAAAATTGCTTGTTTATTTATATATATATATATATATATATATATATATATATATATATATATATATATATTTGTGTGTGTGTGTGTGTGTGTGTGTGTATATATATGTTCGTGTGTGTTTTTTGTTGTTGTCTTTTTTAATAAGAGGGACATTTTTATCAAATTGGCTGATATCTGACACAATGAAACTCAAAACCAAAAGCAATATTACAAGATGGAATCATAACAAAATATTACATTTGTGGTTCTTGAGATGAGTGATATAGTTTTATTTGGGCTGGAGGAGGATCACAACAACAAAACAAACAAAACACACACATACACAAAAGTCATTTGTGCCCCTGAGAATTTTTCTTGTTCATGTAATGTAATATTGAAATGGGGCGCCCCCAGTGGTGAGCATTGTGTTAACACTGAGACAACATATTTCCAATTTAGGATTATGCCAAATTAAAGGGCTATTTTGGTCTTTTTCTTTTAAGTCTGTACTAGAATTCCGATCAGATATAATGTTTATTTATTTATTAATATTTATAATGTATGTTTGGACTTCTTAGACTTTAACTGCAAAACTGACTCGTCAAAGCACAAGATTAGAAAAAATAGAACAAATAGAGAAGCAAAATAAAATCTATAATATAGTGACCGGTCAAACCTGGATTAAATCATTATTGTAGTGATTATTGTTGCGTCCGAGCACAGCTCGTCATTAAAGCTGTGAACTCTGTGAAGAGTTTTAAGTTCTCAAATTAATCAATGCAACTTGATTGGATTCATATTCACTGAAGACGCCAAAGAGGTGACACCACATCCTTTTAACAGATGCCCAATAAAAAAATTACAAAAATTCTTAAATGATCGATTTGCAGACAAAGGTTCAATAGGTTGTATGTGATGGAGGCAGAAAAAGCCTCGCCCAGGGCGTCAGAAATGGAACATCCGCCACTGTTCCCGTGACAGTAAAACATTTCCTACCTGTATCATTTGAATTTTAATCCCCGTAAACAGAACCCAGGGTGTGTCTCCTCACAGACGAGACTTACAGTGGAACATTTTAGGGGTTTTATTCTCGGGGGAGGAACTGCTCCCGTGCTTTCTGACGCAGCCAGGGAAACGCTGCTGCGCATGCGCTCTTATCTTCACGGTCGGAGAAACAGACCTCACAACAGGAAAAAAAAAAAGTGTTAAAGACAAAGGAGCGGACAGCCTTTAGGGAGAGTGAAAAGCAGCTCAGTTAGTTTTTCGGAGCGCTTCGTGGAGATTCGGCTGTCTCCCCGCCGGTCGGAACCGGGCGGGTAAGTGTTCGTTGTGGAATAATGAAGTTAGAGGAAAGGCGCTGTGTTTGTGTTGGCTGGAGAGACGGAGTTACGTAGAAAACATCCACAGGACTAACGTCAAAAAAAAGAGAGAGAGAGAAATGCTGCCAACATGGATTCAGTACTACAGTATGAGTGTGTTTTTAGTGTGAAAGAGCAGCTGTCCTTGGTTAGTGTGTTTGCTTTCTTATTGCTGTGACCTGTGTGTGTTTGGCTGCTGTCACATTTAGCTAGTTCTCTCCGAGCAGCTCGCTTCCTCTATTCAGAACTAGCTGCTGGAGATGTTTACTTTCTGCCCATTTTGAGGTCCGCCGGCCGAAAAGAAGAGTGAAGCCTGTTATTGTTGCATTTTGACCTTCTGCATACACCTTTAATACATTCGGCATAGCTTTGAAGAACATTGTTTGTGGCTGATAATAATTTGTTCCCACTTTCTTCTTTTTGAACCTTTTAGCAGCTGTGCATTGCTGTGAAAAAATGTGTTTGTCCCCTACAAATTTCTTTTCTCTTTAGCTTTATGTCTCGCCTGAATGTTTCAGATCATTAAATATATATCGATATTTTTGCCAAATATAACAAGGAGGTAATTTATTATGGGGGGGGGGAAGCTGTCCAAGCTAACATGGCCCTTTATTAAAACAACGACCCTTTTGGGTGACAACAGCTTTGGCACAAATTCAGTTCAATTAAAAAATATTTCATTATCCCAGAAGGAAATGAAATGTTGCAATCATGTCGTGGACAGTGATGCTGTGAGCAGGAGCAATCTGCAGTAGCAGTCCGTCTCGCAACAAATTTGGAGAGGCTTCTGACTGAACACTGTTGGTCTTGTGACCATCATGACATGCGAACAGCAAATGCAATGTTCCACAAAATTATGTCTCTGGATGACATCATCAGTCTGGACTTTATTAAATTACAGCATACCTTGAAAAGTGATTGTGTTTTTTCTAGTTCTTTGACCTTAAGAAATGTATTGGGGTGCATTTATAGATCAGATTTCCTTAATTTTCTGTGATCAGCTTGTACTTGCACATGAAACCGATCCTATCTACTTGCGCAAACGTCTGAAATTCAGTAGCTGCCCCCATTTTGCTCTGACATGAGAGTCGCCCCATTTTTGCTAACGTAGTAATTCCATCACCATAACTAGCAACTTTTCAGACAAAAAATAAAATCTGCATATTAATGGTCGGTAATCAGACAAAAAACTGCTATCGGTGCACCCCAAAAAATGTGTTTAATTCAGACCTTTTTAAGGGTGACAAAAACGAAAAAAAAGATTAGATCGTAATCAATGTAGCTCAATGAAGCGGAGTACTTGAAATTACGGTCAATGTTCTAAACTGGTCGTAACATCTGTTTTCAGAGCAACGGGAGAGAAGCTTCATGTTCAGTTTTTTGGTGATGGAAAGTCCTGCAAAAAGGCACGCCTGTTGACCCGAGGGACACAACGGTCAACGCACACAAACACTCACAGGATGGAGGAAGTGGAAACAAACAAGAGAGGAATGACAACTTGATTTATAATTTTTATCAACGGATCCCATTTTCTTCATACTTTTTATTTTTCCACCCCTGCCTAAATTCTGTCCTGAGTTCTACTTTTTTCATCCTCTCCTGTTGAGAGAGGTGGTGTTTATTTACCTTCCACCTTCCTCTGAGAGCCTACATAGCAACACAGACTCCTCTCTTCCCGGAGGTCGAGGGGGCTGCCATGGGAACGGCTGTCCTGCCTTCGACGTAGCGTCCTGAGGGCAGTAGTGGTGGAGCTGGAGGAGGAGGACGTGGCAGTGGTGGCGGCGGCGGCGGTGAACGTCCAGGGATGGGGAGTACTCCGTATCCAGCCAGCGAGTGGAAGCAGAAGGGCCGAGGCGGACTGCAGGAGCTGGGCTGCATGCCCTGGAAGGTCAGCAAGCAGAAAGCTGCAGCAGGAGGGGGGGAAGCGGTTTCAGGAGCAGCGGAGAGGAGGAGCAAGGATCCGAGGGATGGTCAGCTGCAGCAGGATCTCTCGTCGTCATCGTCCTCCCTCTCCCCGCCGGCTCCCCAGCAGACTTCTCCAACTACTCCGGCCATATATCACGAGAAGCAGCGGAGGGAGCTGTGCGCATTGCATGCGCTCAACAACGTCTTCCAGGATGGGACGGCCTTTAGTCGGGACACCCTGCAGGAGATATACCAAAGGTGAATGAGCTGGGTCACTAAAATGCACCAGGAATCAGCTTTGTCTTGCAAAAATACTTATACTTCTTGAACTTTTTTACCTTTTGCCTCTGGGTTTGATGAGGTACACCCGCACAAGGTACCATGTAATTGTGAGGTGAAATGAAAATGATGCATGATTTTAGAAATTATGCTCACAACAAAATAATATGGGGGATGGAATTGTATCCAGGCCCCCTGAGTCAATACTTTCCCTCTCTCTCTGTCTCTGCAAATAGAGCTGCTAAATCTTTGCTAAGTCTTTGAGGTATGGCTGAATGCATTGAATATTTCAGCAAACATCTTTAACATGTGGATACAAGAACCCTACTTGGCACAGATGTTCCCATGGTCTTGCTATGTATTTTGAAACAAAAAACAAAAATGTTAGCCACTGAAATACTGAAGGGGGCAGTTTTTCGAGATGGAAAACTGCTAAAAACAGAAAGATATTCAAAGAAACTAAATAAACAGCTAAACAAATAAGCATATAAGCAACATAAGCTCATGCTAAACAAATGAAAATATAATGATATGCTAACACTAACCCACTATAGACATAAAAACATTAGCAGAAGTTATCGTTAAACATATAAAAGTATCAGCCAAAGCTAATGCTGAACTGCTAAACAAATGAAAATATAAAAATATACGTTGAACTGATAAAGAAATGGAAACTTTAATGGAAGCTAATACTAAACCGCTAAACAATTCAAAAAAATTAGCGGAAACTAATAAGAACGAATCAGTCCAGTCTTCTTGTTTTGTTGTTTCAGCTGTTAAACCTCAGTTTCAGTTTTGGCATCTGATTATCATCTGTTATTAGTGAGTTTTATGATTAGGATGACCATCGTTGAAAACATGATGTGACATAGAGTTCATCCAAGACATGAAAATGGGTAACATTTTATGCGCATAACTGGTTTAAAAGTCATGTTAAAGGTGTATTTATGTAAAAAGGGCTGTGTTCAAATGCACGTTACACTTTCCATTTATGATTAGCAAAAATTAGAAATCCAAGTCTTCTTAGTTGGGCACAACTTTGTGTTGATGGCATAAAATCCCAAGAGAAACCATTGATGTTAGCAAGTCAACATGAGAGACTGAGGTTGATTTCTCGTTTTCAACACGTTGCAGGCTATGTCCCAGCACTATGGTGACGCCTCACAAAAAGAGCATGCTGGGAAATGGGAACTATGATGTAAACGTCATCATGGCGGCGTTGCAGACCCGAGGGTTTGAGGCAGTCTGGTGGGATAAAAGAAGGTATGTAAGTCATTTAAATCTAAGTCTAAGTGTATAAAACGCTACACATTCCAAATATGCAATTATTTATCAAACGACAACAAAGCCATGATGGTATGAACATCATGGCTGTGAAAGCAGAGTCTTTCTGCTTTCAATTTAGCCATTTCTGAAGTTTGTCAAAACGTTTCAATGGATGTCATGTTTCTCTAGGAATAGTTAGTTCTGATACGGTCCAGGTTTGCTTACCGGTTAGTCGTTGAAACAAGTTGTGTGAGGAATGGACATGCAGTGCTTGTTTCCAGGCTGTAGTATGTTGGATAACTCACTTTCTGGCTGTCTGTGAAGATCCAAACACTGTCAGAACATCGGCTGATCAATCTCAGACACGAACGGGACGGGTTTCTCTGCTCAGGTCAGAATTGATCAGATGATATGGGACTCTATGGACTTGGACCCACACGCACTAAGTATTGCAAAACACACCAGGGGGCTCTTGTTGTCCAGTCTAAATTATAGGATTTATAAGTACAGTATCTTTAAGTTTTACTGCCACAGAAGCAAAAAAAAAAAAAAAGAAAAGAGAAAAAACATCCAGACATATCAGTTGATAAATAATTGAATAACTCATGTAAACATTTTTATGCTTCTCACTTGGTTTTTGCTCAGTCAGCACAGTAAATCTAAAAAAAAAATTACTTTTCAGTTTATTTATACAGCGCCAGTACACAACAAATGTTTTTGTCCTTCTGAATATTGACTTCAACAGTATATATAAATATATATTTTTCTGCATGAAGAGAGAGAAAGACCTGTCTCAGATGAATTGTTTCACAAACAATTAATTGTTTCACAAATGATTAATCGTTTCTCACATTGAAAAGGAAAGCTATTTTTAGTATTATCAACAATTATTTTAGTAATTGATTATTTTGTCAATTATTCTGATGGTCAATTTTTAAAGAATGGCACATTCTGCAGATTTTTTCAACAATGTAGAATTTTTTTTTTTAACAACAACATGCATTAAAAATACAAATGAATGAATTCAGTTCCATTTCAGCTATAGCTAAAAAATAAAAAAAACTTTTAACATCAGCTTGTGAAAAACTCATCCCTTTCTGCTTGACTTGGCATCAGCACAGAGTAGGACTGATCTGTTGATTATTTTTGGAATAACTAGTTGGTGAAGATGAATTTTTTTTTTTTTTTACAGAATTTGAACCAGGTGAAGCCAAAACACCCACTAGAGAAATTCTGGGTAGAACAGATTAACAGACAAATATACTTCTTTTTCATCTTAAGTGCAAAATATTTATGTTTTTCATACAGTTGTGCTTTAATTGCTGCTCTGACTGTGTTGTCTTCACAGCAAATTGACTCTTTTTGAGTCTGCATATAATTTATTGGTTACTGAAACGATTATTTCAATAACTCCTCTGATGAATCGTTTCAGCCCTGTTGTGAGTCTACTTCTGAACAATATAGAGCAACAACCAGAATGAATCTTTTGGAACTCTAAGATATTTATTTTTTGGGTAAAATCTCCACAAAGTGCGCTTGCGTTGGTTGACGGTTCACTTTCCGAGCTGTTGGAGAAACACCAGTTGTGTGTTTCCCTTCGAATTATAAATATCCTGCTGCACCAAACCAAATAAATCTAACTGGTTTGTTGAAAATAAGTCAAACATCGACATGAAAAATAAAATAGTCAAGCCCCCCAAAATCCACAAGCTATAAATATGTGCTGTGCCACACATGGCGGTCTTGACCAGTGGCATGAACAGATGTTCTTCTAGTCTCTCTCCAGTAACTCCAGAAGGTTTTGAATGCACCTTTAGTCATTGCAGCAGGATGTGGATACATTCATCAAATGTATTGTTTCTTGGATTGACATCGCTGTCTTAAACGAGACCAACAAAAACCTTTATCTCTGTTTGAGTCCTATTTTAGATCCCTTGGTGAAACTGCATCGCTCTGTAATTGAGATTTTTTTGTGTGTGTGTATTTGTAGTGCATGTTCCGCTGTTGTCTTAGTTTATTTCCCAGAATGATCCATGAGGGGGTTGGCCAGAGGCCGCACAGCCAAAACATAAACACTTTTACTCAGGTCCACATGTTTGGTTGATTTTTAAATTTTTTACTTTTTTTTTCTCATATTTGTTTCTAATCTTGACTCTTGTGAACAGGAAACTCCTCATCCAACTCGAACATCTGCAAATCCTAAATGTAAACAGGAGGCCTGCTTCCTCCGCTGAAACTACATTAACTTAATCAGCCGAGTCGTCAAAGATCCATCAGTTGGCCTGTTTTTATTATCAGTACTTGTCCTTTCTTCACTATCAGTCCCACAGGACTGCTAATGGCATCAAGAGTCTCTGCCTTTTTCTGTGAAAATTAGTTCCTGTCTTTCTACCCTGTGCTAAAACCGGAACATAATCACTGCCATTAATCAATTGACAACATAAACACGACTCTCTTTCTGTTACTGTTTTTATGCAGCACAAAGCCAGTTTGCATATTTGGATTACTTTCAGATTTACGCAGAGTTGAAAAAAGATGGATTTAAACGAAGGGATGTAAGCACCACTAAAAATCTTTGAAGAGGATTTTGAATATTGGGAAGAATCCAAAAATTGACATGTTTATTGAACACTCTGCTCCACCTGAGCTCAGCACTTTGATTTACAGCAACTTACTGATTTACAGCAGCTTATTGAAGTAAATCACAGCCTTATGAAAATGTTCCATATTTTGTGATGCTGTTGTACAGAATTACAAATGACCTCATCAAGTAAAGACACCTCAGCATAGCATCCAGATGGTTTGTTGTCCATCTTGTTTTATAATGTTCTTTGCTTAAATAGCTTCTTTTCTTTTCCGTCCCCCAGGGATGTAGGCAGCATTGAGCTGTCCAACGTGGAGGGCTTTATCCTGAACGTGCCGTCCAATCTGCGCTGGGGACCCCTCCGGCTGCCACTTAAACGCCAGCACTGGATTGGAGTCAGGGAGGTGGGAGGTGTCTACTACAACCTGGATTCTAAGCTACGCAACCCTCAGCCTATTGGCAGTCCTGATGAGCTCAGGTAAGAGGCAAGGTGTTCTGGGAACGTGACCCTAACAACATCCCGCCACAAAAAGAAACCCGGCTCAACCATTGTCATAATATTATTATATTTGAAATAAATATGTACAAAGCATATCAATAGATTAAAACAATTTAGCAATACAAAAGTAACATATTTTCCTAAAAGAAAGGGGAATCTCCTGTGTGTCCTTCTCTCAGACGAGCAGAAAAACCCTGAAATTATTTTACTGTTGTAGACAGAAAATGTATTTTACATGCAGCTATTTGCCTAATACACTAAATGTTGTGCATTTGAGATGTTGTCCCATGCGCTCCAAAAACATACGTCAGCCCATTTTTACTTAACAAGCAAATAAACAATGCTTGTTTATTTATTTATTTATTTTTAGCATTATCGCAATTGACGTTTTTTGTTTCCTTTATCACAAACTCAGGAAGTTTCTCCGTCAGCAGCTGCGAGGGAAGAACTGTGAACTCCTGCTGGTTGTCTCAGAAGAGGTGGAGGTCCACCAAACATGGCGCTCCGACAGCTGAGTGTTGCACCAGCCAATCGCATCAGCCAAACGGGCCTGTCGCAGGACGAACTGGAGACGAAGTAGCGTTGTGCACCGCCGATTGCATCATCGATGCACCCTGGCAGTTATCGTTCCTCCCCACCAACCCTGTATTGTTTTGTTTTTTTTCTTCTTCTTTTGGGTTTTGTTTACACGGCCATTTCTGAACACTTAGCTGATCTGAGACACAAAGTAATGAAGGAGGCAAACGTATATATATGCTTATTTTTTCTGTCTTTCCCTTTTTATTTTCTCACATTTCTAAAGTTGTGAGAGTTTTGGATCTAAGGAACAGGCAGATTTTTACGTTTACTATTTTTTTTCTCCTTTTTTCCCCCAATGTTCTATTTTACTCCATATTTTCCCATCTTTCTCACCAAAGTGCACCCTTGCTTCTTTTCCCCTCATCTCGATCTCATCGAATCCCAGCTCAGAGTGAGAGGTTTACCACGTTGCCGACCGTGTGTGTATTTCAGCAACTCCCTACACTTCTGGCACCGGCTCACCCTTTACTGTAGAAACTTTGCCAATGCAACACTTTTTATATTATGGCAACAAAGCAATGCAACACTCTGGTCAAGTACTCCCTCTAGTGGATATTTGCTCCAGCTTGCTTATATCAACGATCATCTAGTCATGTGTTTTTAAATTTCTTTTCACTGTATAGACGCTTCTGTAAAGGAAAGAAATATGCTATTTGTTTAAGCATATTTGCACTACTCACAAACATCACCCGTCAGTAAAGAAATATATGTTTTGGGTTTGATGCTAAACTCTCTTCCTCTTCTGATCAAATGCAGCAAAATGCATTCACTAATTCAGGAAGGTAATTTTCATGCTGTGAGTCATGCTGACTTCAGATTTAAAGTGCAGAACCTTTTACTGAGTGAATTTCTTTACTCCTGCTGAGGGAATGATCAAGAGTAAAAATCACGACTTTACACTAAAGGTTTAGACTAGCTAGTTCTTTACCAATTAAATGTATCCCTTTGTCCTGATTCGTTGTTGCCAGTTTCTTTTCCAAAGGGTCCCAGTCACAGCAACCCTCTAGCACAGGAACTCAGCAGATAAAGGGCTTTTCCTCATCTTCCTGTAGTTTATTGTCCCCCCTACACCCCACTGTATATGAAAAGCAACTTTGAAAGGAAATCCCTGACTGTCCCAGCAAGTTATTGACTGTAATCGGAGGAATCTGGGTCAAAGAAAGTTGTTTTTAAAGTGTAGTTGAGTAAAGAAAGTTATTTGCTTGTATACCCTAAAAGGACCTGGAGGGCAAAACAAAAATATTTTTGCAGGTGTTAGTCTAGAAAGTTGGATGAAAAACGAAAGTTGTTGTTGATCTGGTGTCGTGTCTAAAGGAAGAAAGATTTTCGGTAGTTTGTGAGGCGATTAAAAGTTCACGTCTCCAATTGTTAAACTCTTCGTATTATGCATGTTAGTGATTAAATCGGCCTTAACTTGTTTACATGAAAAGTATGGAGATTTTGGAGTTTGGCACCATATCAGAAAATCCAAAGGAGCAGTTCATTATATTTGGGAGGAGAAATGGCAGACGCCCTTCCATTTTTACAGAGCAACTACTCCCATGATGAGTTTTCACTTTTTTTTCTGCCAAGGAGTTTGTTACACTTTTTTTTTTAAAAATAAGCAATCCAAATATATAAGTTGTGCATGTTTTATTTCAAATTGGAAGCAACATCCTCATGTTCAAGACCTGTCTGTAATCCTGTGATGTCACATTGTATCCATGAGAGACTGCGTTGAACTGTCACATATTTTTATTAACTGAACACGGACACTGCGACCTCTGTTGCACATTCGCATTCGTATGCCTTTGCTTTATTGCCACGACAATCCATTAAGTCCTTCCCCCTGGAGGAATCCTGATTATCAGTGTACTTTATTTTTTTATTAAAAAAAATAAATAAATAACAATAAAATCCTCATATTTGGCATTTCACGTGTCATTGTGTTTAAAATGGTAATGAAGGGCAAATTTGTACATTTACTTCACCTATTAGGATCTGTGGTGCTTTTAAAGGAACAGAGAATTGCAGAGATGTATGGATTGAGTTTGTGGTTGTTGAATGGCGTGAAAAATATTGAATGGGTGTGAATACTTTTGCAAGTGACTATATTCCCATTGATAAATGTTAGCATTTTGACGCTCTGCTGCCTTAAGGGGTGGGTGTGTGTGTGTGTGTGTGGGGGGGGGGGGCAGGTCTATGTGTGTGTGAGAGAGAGAGAGATGGAGAGAAACTACGACCGTTTGGTATCCAGTAAATAACGGGGATGATGAGGCAGCCAGTGGCGCGCGCCGACTCATCCTTCACGGGGAACGCGCTTTCCTGGCACGAGCGCGCGTGAAGCGGTGTGCAGATGTGTCGCAGATTTTGTAAAGTCACTGGACGAGTGCTGAAGGAAGTCGCTCCAGATAAACCGGCCTCTGAAAGTGGGAGCAAAGCGAAGCGGCGACGGAAAAAAAGAGGGGAGGACGGAGCTGAGGCACGCGCCCTCAATAGCAGTTACCGTTAGCTTAGTTTGTGAGGGAGAAGGACGTTAGTTTGACAGTTAAATCCCCGCGGAGGTTCGGTGCGCACGAGAGATGGAGCTCTCTGCGATTGGAGAGCAAGTGTTTGCCGTGGAATCAATTCTGAAGAAAAGACTCCGAAAGGTAAGGGTTCAAAAGTGGGACGTGAATTATTAATGACGTGTTTAGCAGCGGGGTAATGTCAGCGTGCGTTGCGGTGTCGTGTTTATTTTGGGAGGAAGGATGCTAATTAATGCCTGGATATTAGTAGCACAGTTGTCTTTTAACCTGGTTAGCTAATTAAGAGGCTTTGTAAGGGGGTCAGGTGTCCCCTGAATCTAACAGTTGTAACTGCGCAGCATCTTCTGGCGTAAGCTGTTTGACTCATTAAGCCCTACGAGGAAACATTCAGGCAAACTGTTATCATGGGCCTGTCTGCCTGCTGAGTAGGTCTCGTGCTGTGTTGTTGACATTAGCAGGTGCGTACCTAGAACTTAAAGGTTCTGGAGCACAAAAGAGGAACCCGAGAGATTTCTGCTTTATTTCTGAGCATTGTACTGGGTGGAGAGAGGCAAGCTAAAATGTGAGTACAGATTTAAACTGAGCAAAATGAATCCATTTTTTAAAAATCTGTTTATTATGATCGACACTGGACTTTCAACAAAATTTGACTCCACCCTATGAAAAAGTTACAGGTTTTAAAGCTGGAAATAAAAAGGGGTCTGTCATACAATGACAGCAGTTTAGAGTCTGTATAAAGGGATCTTAAATGCGCAGAGTTTTCTCTGGCTTCACTTGTAATGACTGAGATCGAAACAATGGAGTTTCATTGTGAGTTTTCGGGCATTTCTACCTATATCAAGGTTAAGAGGGAGTTGCTGGCGACACATTGAAGTATTATTGCAATAAAATCCGTGTTGTCGCTTATCCACCAAAACCTGGTTCCTCTACTACTTATTTTATGAATTATAATTCATGTTTTGGGAAGTTTTAGTAAGAAATGTCAGACACTTCGAATGTCACATTTAAAGAGCTGAAATCGTGACTGTAATTGAACGGTCATTTTAGCAAGTCTAGCTGGTTCAAGGGAAATCTGAAAAAAGTGAGAAATATTTTAATTAAGATAATAATAAGACATTTTATTAGCAGTTAATTGGTGTATGTTTTTGCATAAAGACATTTAGATGGTTGTAAATTTTAGGAGTTCACAAGAGCCAACGGTCTGTTTCGATTCACAGACATCATTCACACTTTGTTGTTTAAATATAGAACCGCTGACGTTCATGATGATTTCATACAGTAACCAAACAACAAACACAACAGAGTTTCAGATGGTAGCCTGACGAGTCAGAGCTATGTTGAACTTATTTACTGATGTACTCAAAATCATGTGATATTATATAAGTTTACAATACAAACATGGGCTTTTTTTTAATGTACTGAATTTTCAACTTAGGTCAAAGTTAAATATTGAGATTTATCAGACCAAATATAGCTCCTCCTGATTATAATGCAACTTCATATTCTCATGAGATCTAGACAAAGTTTGTGGAAGTGGTGAGTTCATCCACTGAGAATACCTTTAAGAGGCCATAACAGGATGACTTCACCAAGAAATGACAGACTCTGAGTGCTTCGGTTAGTACATTAATATTATTGCATTACACGTCATGTGACGAAAGAGCGTCGTCTCCATAACTCAATGGTGGATCCAATAGAAGACGAATAATAAGACATTTCAAGTTGCCACTGGAAGAATCTTAAAAGTGAAGGTTGGGTGGAATGTTTTGATCAGAAGTAAACCGGCTGTATTTCACAAAGCTTGCTGGCACCTTTCACTCGGTCATTAATATGTTTCACGAACTGCAAAGCACTGATGCAGAGCTACCAAAAGGATCATCATAAAAACGATGCAGCTCTAAAAGCTGTGGTATTTTCTGCTCCTTTGATGCTGGTCTGGAACCTTTTCTCCACAGGGTAACGTGGAGTACCTGCTGAAGTGGAAAGGATGGCCTCCAAAGTGAGTATGTAGACATGGAATATTTTATCTAAAGAGAGCCTCCGCTTTATATAAAAAATCTAATCATGTGTACAACATGTGCTATAAAAGTAACACAACTGTATAGGGTAGAACAAAAATATCCTACCTAGTTCCACAGTGGGCAGCATGTGAAGGTTAAAAGAGACACAGATGGAAAAATATATGAAAGAACTGAAAAATACTAAAGTGTACACTTCACAAAATAAGGAAAATAATACTAAAAAACTACTAAAAATAGTAAAATGATTAAAAAAAATTGCAACTGAGGAGGGTAGGTTTGAAAAAAAACGAGTAAGATGTGCATAAGAAGCAGCAACAAATGATTTACAGAAGATTTAGAAGAACATTGCAAATAACAGCAGGGTGCAAACACTGAGTTCAATCAATCAATATCAATCAATAATGGCATAATAATGCATACTCCCCCCTTTTCAAAGACCAACGAACTCTAATTTAGTAAAAAAAAAAAAAAAAACTAACACTGGAACTTGAAGACCAAGATCAATACATAAAACACAACAGAAACCATAAATAAAATGGCTCATGATGGCTCTGTTAACAAATTTGGCCTTTAAAAAAATATTAATCATCAGAACGGAAATGATCTAGCTCAATTTAATGTATCCTGTGAGTCATTGTTCTGCAACACAACAGCTTTACTCAGACTTGAATTGAAGTTGGAGTTTGAAAGCCATTTCATAAATTTCTCCCCCCCTCAAAATTGTCAAATTATGAAAATGTTCCTGTGGTTCCAATAGTTTTACAATGATACTGAAGAGTATGTTTATTTTTTTTCTCTACAAAAAAAATTTGTATCGGCTTGTTAAATTTTAATACAGTGAGAATGTGAGATGCATCAGAGATTAAAAGCAACATCCTCACTGATTTAAAAATATGGCATAAATTGATATTTCCAGTTTGTTGCTGCTCTAACTCACCAGATGTTCTGTTGTCTCCTGTTAAGTTCATTTGCGGTTGGAAGCTCAGCCTGACCAAACATTAAGCCGATAAGGAAGTTCTCTCCAATCAATTATGCATGCATTCAGAGGTTTCTGTGAAGGATTTCCAAAACAATACTTTACATGAGCTATTCTCCCAACCGGCGACGCAGCTCACATCAAATTCAGACATATTCTGCTCGGTTTTAACATTTAACGTGTTTTTTTTTCTTCATGCAGTATAAAAAATGAAAATAAATTCTATGAATTTTAAAATATTTTAAAGAAACAAACTCCTTTTCATCTTTTGACAAAGTTGCCTTTCAATCAAAACTTCTCCTTTTGCTCAAGAAGATGGAGCTCAGATTAGCTTAGTTTTTTTTCTTTTCAGTCTTTGTTTTAATGAGATGTGCTGTGAAAAGTTGGACTTGTTTCATTTGCCGACTAAACGACAAAAAGACAAAGAGAGATGGAGTTTATGGAAAAACGAATATCTCTTTCTCACATTGGCTCACAGGTACAGCACCTGGGAACCTGAGGAGCACATCCTGGACCGGCGCCTGGTGCAGGTGTTCGAGGACAAGTGAGACCCTCCTTCAAACAGAACACAAACAACATGAGCCAGTCTGACATTGCGCTGGTGTTGTCAGGTTTTTAGCATTTCTCATCGCACACTGAAATTTTCACAGTGGGCAAATTCAGATGTAGGCTCACACCAAGATAAGAAGTGTCAAAAATGTCAAAAAACAACAACAACAAAATCCCCCAACAAATTTACGAATATGACACGAATATATACAGCATGAGGTTGTCTGTATGTCCGCAACGTTGTAACGATGTGAATTACCTAGACTGAAGCGTCTTGTATAAACTATTCATTTATAGCTATCTGTTCCTGTCTGTTTTTTTATGTGTTTTGGTTTCTTTTCATGTTTTGAAATGTAAAAATAAAAAAGATAAAATAAAAAAAGGATAAGATTATACATTAAACATCCAGTGTAGTTATCAGAAATAGCACACTTTGATCCAGTCAGTGTGCAGCGGACAAGGATCAGTTTTAAAAAATGTACATAATGGACATTAAACAGACTATTTGCGATTTATGAAAACAGAAAATAATCTGTGTGAATACAGCAGGAATGTGGCTTGAAATGGGCAAAAATGTTCAAAAACACATCAGGGGTGTAATCACTTCTTGATTTTGTTGGGAGCAGTGATGGTTCTGGAGGAAGGATCTATGTTAACGCTCCTTAGTGCACTCAGGATGCCAGCACTGAGCTTCGCTGACATTTATTTACAAGCCGAGGGATGACACAGCAAATCCACATCTAGAGAATCTAAATTCAGATAACCTATTCCTTTTTTTTTTTCACTTTCCCAGAGAAGAAAGAGACAGAGTGATTGGCCACCGGAGGAAAGGATCCAAGTCAAAACGACTCCTGATGCAGGTAATGTGATCAACACATCTAGAGAGCTCCAGTCCACATGACCCCCGAACTTTGAACCCATCCTGTCCTTTCAATAAGTTTCCATCGGCTTTACAGCTTCCCTGCTGCTTTTGCAGAAAATCCTCCCCACATTATGATGCTGCCAAACCTTTCTAGCTCATTTTATCATTTCAGAACACCGTTTACACCATGGATCTCCGCAGCGCTCACAAGATTCCCGCCAAGCCTGCTCCTCGCCTGCGTCTCTCTCTGACGCGCTCCCTGGTTCCTGACGATGAGGAGGATGAGGATGAGGACGACGCCTGCGTTCCTTCTCGAACGCATCGAAACACCAAGCAGAGCAGACGACTTAGCTTAAACCTGCAGAGACCCTCACAAGATGCCTGGGAGGAGGAGGAGGATGAGAAAGAAGAGGAGATCAGTGCAGAGGATAGTGAACACAGAGAGGAAGAGGAGGCTGAGATGCGAGAAGGTGTTTTTAACGGTATGTGTGTCACTTGGTCAGAGAGTTTAATCCAGCCAGTCTTGTCCCAGTTTGGTTTGTTTTCTGGGCATACGGCCAACGCCTTGCATCATCCTGAGCTGATTATAGAACCAATCCTCCAGAGGCTCATTAAAACTGCAAGATGTAACTTTTATAAAAAAAAAATTAAAATAAAAATAAAAAAAAGTGAAAACTGTCAGCATGTTTTGGCAGAGGCAGATAATCTGTGAAAAGAACGATCCCCTCCTCCTCAAACAGCTATTATTGCTGTCTGCAGAAATTCACAGCTCCTAAACAAAAACAACCAATCACAGCCAGGAGGAGGGGCTTAGTGCTGTCAATCAACCTCGCTGCTAAATGTGCTAATGGTGGAGAAGCATCTCATCATTCCAGCAAAACAGTTTATCCACCGTCATGCTGACTAGCCTTAGCATTCCTAATATTATACACTAGATTGACAGCGCTAAATCCCGCCTCCTGACTCTGATTGGTTGTTTCTAGTTAGCACTGGTTAGCAGGGGAGCTCCATTTTTTCCACAAATTTTCAGTTAAGACACACTAACAGTTTCAACAAGTATCTAAAAAATTTATTTCATAAAAATGACATACTGCTGCCTTAAAGGCACATTTTTCTATTCACATTTAAATAAAAATCTTAATTTATGAGTTTTTCTCAGATTGCGTAGCCTTCACTCCTATCATATGCTACATGTTAACCACAAATGAAGAGGAATGAAACAAGTTTCATTCCTCTTCATTGACCCTTCACCTTTCCTTTAGGACACAGGGGCCCAGATAACTGGAGCACAGCCGTGGGGTCCGGCGGCACGGCCGCTCCAGACAAACTGTGGCGACCCATGGTGGGCCCAGGAGAGGTGACGGTCACAGACGTCACCCTCAACGCCCTCACAGTGACCTTCAGGGAGTCCAGAGCGGCCAGAGGATTCTTCCGGGACTGGGGCCTGGAGGTGTGGGAGCAGGTGGGTGACGGGGCCCCTCAGAGCTGCTGGAGGCACTGACTGTGATACGCTGCTGGAGCCGTTTGGTTTATATGCACAGAGTCAGCAGTGCCTTACAAAAGTATTCACATCCATTGCACTTGTCCACTTTTCGTCATGTCACAACCGTAGAGGTCACTGTGTAATATGTGTATTTAATGAGACAGACCAACACAGGGTAGACATAGAACATCAAGAGAAAGAGGTCTGTTTATTAACATTTTATTTATTTATTATGAAATGTAACATCACATCTTAATATGTGATATAGGTTCTAGAAGAAAACACTTCAGATTTTGACAAGTTGAAACCATGATTTACTTTTCCCTTCACAATTTTGCTCCACTCTTCGTTGGTCTCTCTTGTGAAATGGCAATAAAGTTACGCTTTAAACATAACCAAAAGCTGGAAATCTCCAAAATGTATGAATATTTTTGCTATGTGTGGTTGATCTGGTCACTTTTAAGTGGAATACATCCAAATTGAAACCCATCACGTACTTGTAGCTGACAGGAAGGAAATGACACGAGCACTGACAGCTGGCTTAAAGGTCTTCTTCATTCCAGTGAATCGTAACACATTTTAAATAACACATTTCTGTTTAGGCTGGTGGGCAGTTATTTCCAGAAATAAAACCTCTTTACTTATGAAACCATACAGACTTCTTGATCAGATGAAATAGTTTTTGTTCAATCAAGCAAACATTGGTTTCCAAACGGGTTGCTTCATTTAGCTTGTGTGTAAAGTGTGTCAAATTTAACACCACAACAACCTCAAGGACCCGTTAGCTACCTGATGCTAACGTGGAGTTGATGAGGAGGAAAACTCATCAGCTAGCTCATAGCTAACTTTTTAACAGCTAGCCAGGTGTTATATTTGTATTTCTTTCCATAATGATCAACATATTTAATACCCAATCAACCTTATTTTGAAAGAATATTTTCTCACATGAAATTGTGTGATTCATAGCAAAATGTTAGCATAAAATGCAGCCATTTTAGATAGAAGACGAGGAAATGCACTTTGTAACATATCAGAATGAATTGGAGCTCTGATGACGAACTAGAAGGGAACTAGGTGAGTCCATGTGAAGAAGAGGAGTCTCTGTGCATGTAAACACAGCCACCAGCTCCTCTCTTCCACCCTAATCTTACCAGGCGTTATCCTGGATTCAGACATGTTGTACATACTCCAAACTACCTAGTCTGGGTTTGTAGCGTTTCAAAGTCTACTGGGAGACAATTTGAGCTGCCCGCATGCCTCTCTCCTCTCTCCTCTCGTGCAAAGACGCACAGCATAGTTTCTCTCAACCACCCAGCTCTACGTCATGAAAGCATGAAGCAGAAGGCACAAACCTGAACCAAACTCTGAAACCACATGACAGAATGTATTATGTTGGTGTGTTACACACCAGTGATGGACACACACTGGCCACACTGGTGTGTGTCCATCAGAGCCTGACCGGAAGTTTCATTACAGTTTCAGAATCTCAACATTACAGTGATTGTGTAACGTTACCAGGCTGATGTTTGATTTTATCTGCAGTTTGCAGATTTAGATTAAAAAATACAAAAAATAAACAGAAACAATCCTGGACGAGTTCTGTTTTTAAGATGAAAAAGCAAACTTTTTTTTTATTATCTTAAATCTAAAATGTATATATTTTTTTAGCTTAATCACTGCTCTGAATATGTTATTCATCCAGCAACTGGCCTCTGCTTGAGTCTGTATGCTCCAGTTAACAATTAATTGATTGATAAATTAGTTGACAGTTATTACCGATTAATCGCTTCAGTTCTACAGAACTGTGTGCATTTGAGATCAGCCCCACTTACTTTGCTGCCTATAAATAAACTCAGAAGGCACTTTGAGTTTCATGCATATGTGGAAATCTCTGCATGAACTCAGCTTCTCAAGATTTGTTCCAGAGCTGATCCATCTACTTAGCGTTGGTCTATTGTATAAAGAAAATTATTACAATCCACTGATGTTTATGACCTAATGTGACAAAGTGTTGGAGTTCTGCACATTTAATGACCCAGTAGCTTTAGCCAGACTCTGTGAATACAGGATCTGAGGTGATGTCCTGATGATGATGATGATGGACTGTTTATCAATGAAAATGAAAGTGCCTACTGCTGCACTGTTTGTTTCCATGTAACCGTGGAGCTTTTAAGAATATTGTCTCTCCACATGACTAATTACTAGAAGTGTTTTATTTTTCTCCTCTCCACTGATGTAAGACAGAAACTGTTGCCTGGAGACCGCCTGGTTGGACCGCAAAGCAGAAACACATTTTTCTAGTCATTTTTCTACATCGACCTGAATGTATATTTATTGTGTATGGGTCCTGCATATAACCGCGCGATTGTTTTATACAGTTTGTTTTAACCAGTTCATGTACAGAGTAACTGTACTAATGTGCTAGAACGAGCGCCCCCTACAGGGGGGCTTCATGTTGCCTCCTGTTGTCGCTCGCGCCGCATCCGTCGCCCTGCACCGCGATGTGAACCCGCACATTGCCTGCTCCGGTCTGTCAAGTGTTGTGCTGTTTCGACTGCTTGTTGGGTAACATGAAAAAATAAATGTTGCACATGTTCACTATCATTTTTGGCGGCCATGTTTCATCGAGGTAGAGCGAGTGAGCAAAATGGAAAAAATCCACTGCATGTTCTGTGACGCACCTTGGAGTACATTAACCAGCTAGGAGCTCATCAGACCCGCCGATAACCTGTTTACTTATCAGAGGTAACTTATGAATTTATTGGCAAGTTGTAAGTTATTTACTTATCAGTAAGCACCAAAAATGATCCTTGTGTTTCTCCTTAAAAATAAAAGAAAGAAATTGTTTTGGAAATTTCCGTTTCAGATGCAATTTCAAGCTCAGAAATTCCCTACTTTTTTTCTAGAACATTTCTGAGATTAATCTTAAAATTCCTTGTTTTTTTTTTTTGTTTCATCCTCATTTCAACAATCAGGAGCTCCAAACTAAAACTCTGAGGTTGAAAAGTCCCTTAAAACTCTCCTTTCACACATTTTATGTGAACTTGAAACATGTCAATTTCTGTACTTTCCACTTAATTCAGAACTGCTTCAGTTTTTCTTTTTTAGAACAAAATGGTCAGACCGTAAAGGAAACGGGAAACTATTCTAGACCATGTTTTTTTTCTATATTTGCATTTTACATTGTATTTATGGATTTCTAAGTGAAGTACTTATCTAGCTGACAAACCGATTTGATAGTAGTGGCAAAGAAGAAAGCAATTTTTTTTTCCAATAGTACAAACATACTTTATTGTACAATTAATTTATTGGCAAAAAAAAAAAACAATCAGACCACCAAAATAACTTAAAAAGAAATTGAGCAACAGTTATTTTTGCTTTCTCTCAGCAAGCACCACAATTGTTAAGAGGAAGAAAAGGAGAAAAGAAAAAGTGGTCAGCGATTCCATTTGAATACTAAACAAATTTAAATATCTTATTTCCAGTCTCTTTTTAGGAAAAGAAAATTTGTTCAGTTGCCATTTGTTTGTACAGTGATTCAATATGTATACAACTTTATTTATGTACATAAACATCTCATCAAAAGGATGGTAGAATGAAGTCCACAGCCTCTCCAGGGCAAATCCAATAACTGTCTGCAGTGTCTTTTTCATCACCATAACACCTTTAATAGAAAACAAAACCATTTTTTATCTAATAATTCCTGTAGCTTCAAGTTTTATTTCCAAAAAAATTAAATTAAATAATATATCTATATATAAAAGACAGTTCATCCATGTTTTTTTTTGTTTTGTTTTTTTTTTATGTATAAAATAAGTCTCGAGATATATTGCAACCTGGTTTTGATGTGTTCCTTCCCCAAACCCAACAACCCCGACTTTCAGAGAAAAACAAATAGTAAGCGTGTGAATATTGTGTCTTCAGTCCTCTCTGTAAAAAGCTAAATAACCAAATGTTCGGTCTTTCAGATCGATCCCTTGTTTTGGCTCCGTTTTGTGCAGGTTTACCGCAGAAATTTTTTTTGTTTGTTTTTATTATTTATTTATTTCTTTGTCTACAATAACACGGGTGCGATAGACCCTCCCTCTCCGAAACTTTGTCGAAAAATACACTAAAAAAAAAAGGCGCATTGGTGCTTGTGACCTACAACAACCCATACTGTACACTTAATAAAAAAGAAAAAAAGGTTAATACTGTACAGTAGCTTAGGAGCACTTCTGTCTTTTTGTTTCAGACACAGCACATATACCATGAAGAAGGGGGGGAAGAAAAGGAGCAAAAACATGTGGTTTGCACAGATTTTTTAAAAAATATGTACACTTTTTTTTTAGACATTTCTTTACAAAGAAAAACAAAAAAATGTATCAAAGTCCACAATTTCCTATTTTTACAGTACTAACAAATCAAACCTTGCTGCTGCAAATGGGAAACAAAAGAGGCAAAATAATTGAAAGGAAAACCGTTAAGGTAGAGGGCAAAGGCGGAACTTTCTCAATGTTTCATATGTCACATAAAAACAGCGCTGGAAAATATTTACAACCTTATTGAGGAAAAAAAAAAGAATAATAAAGAAAAACGGCAATATGCCTTTTTTATTCCTCCACATATTGTAGGGGATCAGTAAAAGGGACTGGAGGGATGCATATTCACAAAAAGGCTGAGAAGTGGCAGATTTGTGGCCAAAATCTGCCAAAATGTTTAACAAAAACCTGTAATAGAAACCCCTGATTCTCTCTCACACACACACCTACAAAATAAAACTCACGCACGCATACATTTCCTCCCACCTGCTCGAAGTAAATAAATATCTGGAATTTGCTGCAGTCACGTACAAAGCTGTGTTCACCGTTCTGAAGAAGACTGCTGTAACGGAAGATATGTTCGTGTTCCTTTTACGATTCATCGACGGAACAAAAATACAAAATAATCAGACTGGAAAATACAATCATGACAGGGTGATTCAGAGGAAAACAATATACATATATATGTGTATACAAATATATGAATATATATGTATATACATATATATACTTATTTTAAAAAAAGGTACATCACTCACTTTAACTTTGTTATAACCACATTTGAAATCTTAAAAATTTTCTTAAAAAGGCAAAATACTCAGTCCCCGAAAATATTGTCAGATTTAAGGAAGAAATATCTCCACCAGAAACTCTACCCTTCTGCCTTTTTGTACACAGTTGGCAAATATATATATATATATATATATATATATATATATATATATATATATATATATATATATATATATATATATATATATATATATATTAACAGCAATAACTTACCATTGTTTTTAATTTACTCATTTATTGATTTCTAAGTTTAAAGTCACATCTCCCATAGGAAGGAAGCTTTAGTTCGTATTTATACATCACAAAAATGTTTAAATAAAAAATAAAAACTTCAAAAAGCCCCGGCTCACTGAATGGCAGTTTGTCGTCTGGGGCAACAAGTCAGAGCAAAAAGTGGAGGCGAGGCTACATGAGATTGTGGTTGAGCTCCTGGCTGTTGCTGCTGCCATTGTTATTGTTTCCCCCCAGCATGTCTGGCTGCGTGCCTTGCCCTCCGTGAATCCCTGCCATCCCGCTCAGCTGGGACATGATGGAGTTCTGGTCACTGAACTGACCGGGATCCACGGAGCCCCCTGGTGGCTGCTGCTGCTGGACCTGCAGCGGTTGGGGCGGAGCCATGCTGGGGTGGTGCTGGGCAAGGTGGCCCGGGTGCGGCGACCCGCTCTGTGTCTGCGGGGAGATGCGGTGAGGCGAGGGCTGCGGCTGGGAGGAGGGCTGCATGCGTGGGGACGGGCTGGAGTGTGGCGGCTGCGACTGCGGCCGGGGGGAGGGCTGAGGGGAGCGGACCTGGCTGCCCAGTGAGCCTGCCGGGCCAAGACCGCCTTGGCCCGGGATGTGGGGAGACTGGGCCATCTGGGGGCTCATGGGGCTGCTGTGCTGGGCGGGCGAGCCGCCCCCCAGGTGTGATGGCTGCAGCAGCCTCTGCTGGAAGTTCTGGTGAACCATGCCTTGGGACAGCTGTGGCACTCCGACTCCACCCTGCTGCTGCCCTGGCCCTGAGGAACCCTGTCCGGGCTGCAGGGGGGTCCCAGAACCCCCGACACTCAGATCAGGTCCTTGGTGACCACTCATAGGGTTCTGCTGCATCTGCACCTGATGCAGCCTCTGCTGCAGCGCAGCAGCTACTTGTGACATGGGGTACCCTTGCTGTGCCCCCTGTGGACCTTGTTGCTGCTGCTGGACCACCACAGTGCCCCCTGCAGGCTGCGGCTGAGAGGATGGAGGCATCCCTGCCTGTCCTTGTCCAGGTTGCATGAAGTTCTGCTGTGTTTGCTGCTGTTGCTGGAACGGCCCATGGTTTGCCATTTGCTGCTGCTGCAGTTGCTGTAGTTGCTGCTGCTGCAGCTGCTGTTGCTGCTGCTGTTGCAGCTGCTGTTGCTGCTGCAGCTGTTGTTGTTGCTGCTGTTGTTGTTGTTGCAGCTGTCTCCTCATTAGCAACTCTCTGAACTGAGGATTCATATTTGCCAGGTTGCCTTGTTGTCCAGCTTGCATTGCTCCCTGTTGCTGCTGTTGTAGAGCAGCCATCTGCTGTTGCAACATGGGACGCTGCTGCTGCTGCTGTTGTTGCTGCAGCTGCTGCAGCTGAGCCATGGTGGGCATGTTGCCTCCTCCGGCTCCCCCCTGAGCGATATTCATCCCCATCTGGTTAACATTAACCTGTTGTTGCCCATCCAAGTTGCCAAGCGGGTTGGCTCCAGGTCCCCCTACATTGGGCAAGCCTCCAGCAGAGCCTGGGAACCTTACACCTCCAGGGCCCCCTGCTGGTGGCCCCCCAGGGCCTCCCTGAGAACCCTGGTACCGGGCTGTTCTCTGGCGTATAAAGGCAGCCATCAGAGTTGGGTTGGAGCGCAGGATGTTGAGGACTTGTTGTTGCTGCTGAGGTGAGGTTGGGGAGCGGAGGGTACGCAGAAGCTCCTGAACTGCTCCCTGGGGCAAGTTACTCACTCCCCCTCCTTGCATCAGCCCAGGGGCCCCTGCTGCCCCTTCTGACACACCCAACACCTGCATCAAACCTCGGTTTCCTGCTTGGGTCTGCTGCGGATTCATTGGTGGCTGCTGCTGCTGAGTGATGGCAGCCTGCTGCTGAGGCGGAATAGACCCTATCATAGCTGTCCTTGTTTGTGGGTTCATGGTCGGCCCCCTCGGTGCCCCCCACTGCTGGTTTGTTGGCTGAAGTGGTTGCTGAATTTGAGAGGTCAGCTGGGATTGTGTGCCAGCTACCATCCCATGTTGCTGCGACTCCAACATAGTCCTGCCAACCACTCCCTGAGTCTGGGGGGCCATGCCCTGGGCCCCAATGTGGGGCATTACCATCTGTCCTGGGCTGCTCTGGTGGTGGGGGTGTTGGGGGATCATGCCGCCCTGCCCCAAGCCACGAATCTGCGCCTGGGCCTGAGCCATCCGACTCTGGGTCTCTGCTAGTCGTTGGATCTTTAGGGCCGTTTCTACTGCGGCTAGAGGAGGCCCTTGCGGCTGGCTCTGTACAGGCATGGACCCCTGCCCCTGGTTGGGCTGCTGCTGTTGGGGTGGGGTG